TAGAAACAGGCAGAATAAATGCTACATCTGATGCTATGCTCACACTCTTAAAAGCTCTTCGTTATTCCTCTTCTCTAATCCTCTCTCTCTCTCTCTCTCTCTCTCTCTCTCTCTCTCTCTCTCTCTCTCTCTCTCTCTCTCTCTCTCTCTCTCTCTCTCTCAATTCAATTCAAGGTTGCTTTGTTGGCATGACATTCAGGCAGTATGTATGGCCAAAGCATACAAAACATTTACAATACAAGACATACAGATGGAAAGAAAAACAACAACATATGAATGGGAGTGTGTGTTGTCTTCGACAGTGGGGGGTCTGGGTCGCTGCGTAGTTCAGCTCCCACACATGAACCCACCACCGCGGCGTGAGTATCAGTATTATGTGTAGGCAATTAAGTTTCTCTCTCTCTCTTCTTTCTCGCTGTCTCTCTCTGGAAATTTGGCTTGGCACCAAAAACCCTCACAAACCTTTACAGATGCACAATTGAAAGCATCCTGTCGGGCTGTATCACCGCCTGGTACGGCAACTGCACTGCCCGCAACCGCAGGGCTCTCTTGAGGGTGGTGCGGTCTGCCCAACACATTACCGGGGGCAAACTACCCGCCCTCCAGGACACCTACAGCACCCAATGTTGGCTACGCTACCGGTCGAAAGTTTTAGAACACCTACTCATTCAAGGGTTTTTCTTTATTTTTTACTATTTTCTACATTGTAGAATAATAGTGAAGACATCAAAACTATGAAATAACACATATGGAATCATGTAGTAGCCAAAAAAGTGTTAAACAAATCAAAATATATTTTATATTTGAGATTCTTCAAATAGCCACCCTTTGACTTGATGACAGCTTTGCACACCCTTGGCATTCTCTCAACCAGCTTCATGAGGTAGTCACCTGGAATGCATTTCAGTTAACAGGTGTGCCTTCTTAAAAGTTAATTTGTGGAATTTCTTTCCTTCTTAATGCATTTGAGCCAATCAGTTGTGTTGTGACAAGGTAGGGGGGTATACCCTATTTGGTAAAAGTCCATATTATGGCAAGAACAGCTAAAATAAGCAAAGCGAAACATAAGTCCATTATTACTTTAAGAAATGAATGTCAGTCAATATGGAACTTTGAAAGTTTCTTCAAGTGCAGTCGCAAAACCCATCAAGCACTATGATGAAACTGGCTCTCATGAGGACCGCCACAGGAATGGAAGACCCAGAGTTACCTCTGCTGCAGAGGATAAGTTCACTAGAGTTACCAGCCTCAGAAATTGCAGCCCAAATAAATGCTTCACAGAGTTCAAGTAACAGACACATCTCAACATCAATTGTTCAGAGGAGACTGTGTGAATCAGGCCTTCATGGTCGAATTGCTGCAAAGAAACCACTACTAAAGGACACCAATAATAAGAAGAGACTTGCTTGGCCAAAAAACATGAGCAATGGACATTAGACCGGTGGAAATGTGTCCTTTGGTCTGGAGTCCAAATTGGAGATTTTTGGTTCCAACCGCCGTGTCTTTGTGAGACGGATGATCTCCACATGTGTATTTCCCACCGTAAAGCATGGAGGAGGTGGTGTTATGGTGTGGGGGTTCTTTGCTGGTGACACTGTCTGTGATTTATTTAGATTTCAAGGCACACTTAACCATTATGGCTACCACAGCATTCTGCAGTGATACGCCATCCCATCTGGTTTGTACTTAAGTGGGACTATCATTTGTTTTTCAACAGGACAATGACCCAACACACCTGCAGGCAGTGTAAGGGCTATTTTACCAAGAAGGAGAGTGATGGAGTGCTGCATCAGATGACCTGGCCTCCACAATCACCTGAACTCAACCAAATTGAGATGGTTTGGTATGGGTCAGACCGCAGAGTGAAGGAAAAGCAGCCAACAAGTGCTCATCATATGTGGGAACTCCTTCAAGACTGTTGGAAAAGCATTCCAGGTGAAGCTGGTTGAGAGAATGCCAAGAGTGTGCAAAGCTGTCATCAAGGCAAAGGGTGGCTATTTGAAGAAACTCAAATATAAAATATATTTTGATTTCTTGAACACTTTTTTGGTTACTACGTGATTCCATATGTGTTATTTCATAGTTTTGATGTCTTCACTATTATTCTACAATGTAGAAAATAGTAAAAAATTACGAAAAACCCTTGAATGAGTAGGTGTTCTAAAACTTTTGACCAGTAGCGTAGCCAATTTTGACTTTGTGTTTGTAGTAACGAGTGGAAACCTGGCATTTCGCCTGTATGAGGGAATCCGTGATGTGAGACCGTAGTGTGCTGTTACATTACATAATAGTTAATAATATAATAAGCCATTTAGCAGACGCTTTTATCCAAAGCGACTTACAGTCAGGCGTGCATACATTTTTTTTTTGTGCATGGGTGGTCCCGGGGATTGAACCCACTACCTTAGCGTTACAAGCGCCATGCTCTACCAGCTGAGCTACAGAGGACCACAAGCCTATTTCTAGGCTACACGTTTTCCCTGGTCATGCCTTATGTTATTATCATAACATTATTAACATTAACATAATCATAACATATAATACAAATGTCATGATTGTAAGCCTACAGACCTTTAACTATAAAACAAACTGGGGAGTCCTTCAGGACACACACACAATCGAAACAACCCATGTGAGGAAAATCGTATATTTTCTCCTTTCCTAGAGAGTTAGTCAGACACATCATGACACCCAGTACATTAACACAGTACATTCCCAAGACAAGGATGTCATTCTAACGTAAACAACTCAAAACGTAATTCGCAGATACAATGTCTGATACAGTGATAAATGAGACACACAATCTAATCGTTATCAACTCATTTACGTTTTAATATATTTCATTTTCATATATTATACAGTGGAATCCATATGGATTTGTTATTCTTTTCTGTCTGATGAAAGTTAGAGCCCTAAGCAGTTCTTTCATATTTCCAAATACAACACTGTCACTGTAACCAGCCTAGAGCATAAGCCTACATATTAACACGCTTGAAGAATGTAAATGTGTGTACAGCAGATGATATCCTCTTTTAGGGACTCTCCGGTCCTGTTGTTATCACAGATATAAACATAGGTCTTTATATAACCTACAGTATGTCCATCCCTCCCTTTGATCATGCACTCTTCAGTTCAGAAAAAAACAAAGTTCTGACCATAATATGATAATCATAGGGAGAGGTGTACTGTGAAGGTATCTGTTCTCTCCTTTGTTCAGTCCACACCCATTCTGCATCTGTTTCAGTCTTCTTCTTCGTTGTAACATACCAGATTGAAGCTAAATCCATTTATTGGCCCACTGCTTTTCAAGAACACTGCAGGTAAGGTGTGGCTTAATCCCTTGGCAACTGCTTATCTCCTGTCCTGCCATCCCTCTGGCCATCTCCTCTGTGTCCATGAGGTGGCGCTACTGTATCTGCTATTACAGTGGAATATCATCCACGTCAAAGTACTCGCAAGGCTGATTTTGGGTATCCAGAATCAGAAAACTAACGTTGTTATTACTCTGGTATAAATTACAGTTTGGGGTTAGTGTATTTTCATGGACAACGAGATGAGGCATTTATGTATCTGGGGGGTAAATAAGTAGGTGTCTGGTTTCCCCTATGCATTCTTCATTCCATAGCTGAATGGTGATTGGACAGGACTGGAAAGAAGGGGATCCAAGTATCCAACTAGCTGTGTGGGTGCTGACACCTGCAAAGAAACATGCAGAGTAAATGCTCTCACTCCCACAATTCAAGGTTGCTTTATTGGCATGACATTCAGGCAGTATATATGGCCAAAGCATACAAAACATTTACAATACAAGACATACAGATGGAAAGAAAAACAACAAATGAATGGGAGTGTGTGTTGTCTTCGACAGTGGGGGGTCTGGGTCGCTGCGTAGTTCAGCTCCCACACTCGAACCCACCACCGCGGTGTGAGTATCAGTATTATGTGTAAGCAATTAAGTTTCTCTCTCTTCCTCGCTGTCTCTCTCTGGAAATTTGGCTTGGCACCAAAAACGCACAAACTTTTACAGATGTACAATTGAGAGCATCCTGTCAGGCTGTATCACCGCCTGGTACGGCAACTGCACCGCCCGCAACCGCAGGGCTCTCCAGAGGGTGGTGCGGTCTGTCCAACACATTACCGGGGGCAAACTACCCGCCCTACAGGACACCTACAGCACCCGATGTCACAGGAAGGCCAAAAAGATCATCAAGGACATCAACCACCCGAGCCACTGCCTGTTCACCCCGCTATCATCCAGAAGGCGAGGTCAGTACAGGTGCATCAAAGCTGGGACCGAGAGACTGAAAAACAGCTTCTATCTCAAGGCCATCAGACTGTTAAATAGGCATCACTAGCACATTAGAGGCTGCTGCCTATAGACAGACTAGAAATCACTGGCCATTTTAAGAAATGGAACACTAGTCCCTTTAATAATGTTTACATATCTTGCATTACTCATCTCATATGTATATACTGTATTATATACTATTCTACTGTATCTTAGTCCATGCCGCTCGGTCGTTGCTCGTTCATATACGTATATATTCTTAATTCCATACCTTACTTCGATTTTTGTGTATATGATGTGAAAATGTTAGATATTACTTGTTAGATATTACTGCATTGTCGGAGCTAGAAGCACAAGCATTTCACTACACATGCAATAACATCTGCTAAACATGTGTATGTGACAAATACAATTTGATTTGTGTGCATCTCTGTGTGCGTGTAAGACTTCCCATCACCAGCTGAGAGCAGTCTAGTGACACTTACTTGCCACAGTCTTTGGATCTCTTCTTGTGCTTCCTCCTCCTGGGATGGATCCTGACTCTGGGTCTGCTGAGAAGGAGGGAAAGGAGTGGTGCTTGAGTTAACAAATCCACAGAAACAAACATATAATTCTTAGGTAGTTACTATGTGATTACCATTTCTGTACTGTAAAATAAAAAAATTGCTACCCAATTACAGATCTGTAACCATAGAAGTAATCATTCATTTACTCACCTCTCATTCAAATGCATCTTCCGGAGTCTAAAAACAAGAGGACAGGTGTTATGAGTCTCATCAGGGTCATTCATATTCATTAGTGCACACCACAGCAAAACGTTTGGGAACGGAAAATGAAAACAACCTTTTCTTATTCGATACGGTCAGGGTAGTCCCTTCCCGTTTCGGCCTGATTGCTTCCGTCTCATTCCCAGTGAATACAACCCAGTTTTTAAAGAGAATGTGCCTAGGTGAAAGGGCTGTTTATATTTTGAATGACTTAGATTCAAACTTAAACTTAGATGATTACATGTCAGATGATATTAGGCTTTATTATTACCTGCACTCACAGGTCTGATGCTCCACAAACGTCAGCTCCACATACTGCCCTGTCCTCTCAGTCGGAGTTATCCTCATCAACTGACACACAAACACACATAGGAAAACACAAAACACATGCATTGAGGTGTCCATGCACTCAAAGATGTAGACTGGCATTGGATGTTTTACCGGAACATACATTACCGTTCAAAAGTTTGGGGTCACTTAGAAATGTCCTTGTTTTCGAAAGAAAACTCGTGGGGGCTCCCAGAGGAGTTCTCACGGGAGGAGGAGTGCAGACGACGGAGACCCGAGAGGCAACCCCAAGAACATTTTTTGGGGGGGCACACGGTGTGGACGACAAGGCAGCAGGAGGCCGTTAAAAGGCGGGTCTGCAGGTTAGGAGAGGAGGCCACCATGTTACGGGGGCTATTGGTTCAGAGGGAGCAGGAGTTATTCGGTCAGAGGGAGGCGCTACAGGAGGCTATAAGGGAGAAGGAGAGTGTAGAGGCACGGCGAGAGGAGCTGGTTAGGCAGCAGAAGGAGCGGGGGTTAATAAAGGAAACCAGTCCCGCTCCTCGCACCAAGCAAGTGGTGCATGTCGCCAGTCCGGTCCGGCCCGTTACTGCTTCCCGCACTAAGCCAGTGGTGCGTGTTCCCAGTACGGCCCGACCCGTTCCTGTCCCTCGCACCAAGCCAGTGGTGCGCGTCGCCAGCCCGGTCCGGCCTGTTCCTGCTTCCCGCACTAAGCCAGTGGTGCGTGTTCCCAGTACGGCCCGACCCGTTCCTGCCCCTCGCACCAAGCCAGTGGTGCGCGTCGCCAGCCCGGTCTGGCCTGTTCCTGTCCCTCGCACCAAGCCAGTGGTGCGCGTCGCCAGCACGGTCCGGCCTGTTCCTGTCCCTCGCACCAAGCCAGTGGTGCGCGTCGCCAGCCCGGCCTGGCCTGTTCCTGCCCCTCGCACCAAGCCAGTGGTGCGCGTCGCCAGCCCGGCCCGGCCTGTTCCTGCCCCTCGCACCAAGCCAGTGGTGCGCGTCGCCAGCCCGGCCCGGCCTGTTCCTGCCCCTCGCACCAAGCCAGTGGTGCGCGTCGCCAGCCCGGCCCGGCCTGTTCCTGCCCCTCGCACCAAGCCAGTGGTGCGCGTCACCAGCCCGGCCTGTTCCTGCCCCTCGCACCAAGCCAGTGGTGCGCGTCGCCAGCCCGGCCCGGCCTGTTCCTGCCCCTCGCACCAAGCCAGTGGTGCGCGTCGCCAGCCCGGCCCGGCCTGTTCCTGCCCCTCGCACCAAGCCAGTGGTGCGCGTCACCAGCCCGGCCCGGCCTGTTCCTGCCCCTCGCACCAAGCCAGTGATGCGCGTCACCAGCCCAGCCTGTTCCTGCCCCTCGCACCAAGCCAGTGGTGCGCGTCGCCAGCCCGGCCCGGCCTGTTCCTGCCCCTCGCACCAAGACAGTGGTGCGCGTCGCCAGCCCTGCCCGGCCTGTTCCTGCCCCTCGCACCAAGCCAGTGGTGCGCGTCGCCAGCCCGGCCCGGCCTGTTCCTGCCCCTCGCACCAAGCCAGTGGTGCACGTCGCCAGCCCGACCCGGCCTGTTCCTACCCCTCGCACCACTGGCTTGGTGCACGTCGCCAGCCCGGCCTGGCCCCTCGCACCAAGCCAGTGGTGCGCGTCGCCAGCCCGGCCCGGCCTGTTCCTGCCCCTCGCACCAAGCCAGTAGTAGGTGTGTCCAGTCCGGCACGGCACGGCCCGTGCCTGTTCCACCGGTGCCCAGTTCAGCTCCGGTTAGCTGCTCCACTCCGGAGCCAGAGCAATCCGCTCCACCGGGGTCCAGTCCAGCTCCGGTCAGCGGATCCACTCCGGAGCCAGAGTAGTCCGCTCCACCGGTTCCCAGTTCAGCTCCGGTCAGCTGCTCCACTCCGGAGCCAGAGCAATCCGCTCCACCGGGGTCCAGTCCAGCTCCGGTCAGCGGCTCCACTCCGGAGCCAGAGCAGTTCGCTCCACCGTCGTCGGGTCCAGCTCCAGTCAGCGGCTCCAGTCCAGACCCAGACGTCAGCCCCTCTCCAGGTTCGGGGTCTCCCACACCAGGGTCCAGACAGGGCTTGGTACTTCGTGGGAGGAAGGAGAGGGGAAGCAGCGCGCCGAGGTCCAGACCAGACCAGGGGCACAACAGGGAGGCGGAGAGTAAGTGGTCGTCACGCCCTGAGCCGGATCCGCCTCCGAGGCGGAATGCCCACCGGGCCCCTACCCTGCTATGTTTATGTTGTGCGGTCAGAGTCCGCACCTTTGGGGGGGGGGGGGGGGGGGGGGTACTGTCACGCCCTGACTCTGGGGACTCGTATATGTTGAGTCAGGGTGTGTATGTTCTATGTGGTGTATTTCTAGGTTTAGATCTAGATCGTCTAGATCTATGTTGGCCGGTGTGGTTCCCAATCAGAGGCAGCTGTCGCTCGTTGTCTCTGATTGGGGACCATACTTAGGTAGCCTATTGGCACTAGTGGGTTGTGGGATCTTGTTCCGTGTTAGGTATGTTTGTTTTGTGTACCTTGGACTTCACGTTTCGTTTGTTGTTTTGTCATTGTGTTTATTCTGAAAAATAAACATGTACGCATATCACGCTGCGCCTTGGTCTGACCCGTCGATGAACGATCGTGACAACCGCAGATTTTTTTATGGAATATCTACATAGGCCCATTATCAGCAACCATCAGTCCTGTGTTCCAATGGTACTTTGTGTTTGCTAAAGTTGATCATTTTAAAAGGCTAATTGATCATTAGAAAACCCTTTTGCAATTATGTTAGCACAGCTGAAAACTGTTGTGCTGATTAAAGAAGCAATAAATCTGGCCTTCTTGAGACTAGTTGAGTATCTGGAGCATCAGCAATTGTGGGTTCAATTACAGGCTCAAAATGGCCAGAAACAAGGAACTTTCTTCTGAAACTCGTCAGTCTATTCTTGTTCTGAGAAATGAAGGCTATTCCATGTGAGAAATTGCCAAGAAACTGAAGAGCTCGCACAGCGCTGTGTACTACTCCCTTCACCGAACAGTGCAAACTGGCTCTAACCAGAATAGAAAGAGGAGTGGGAGGCCCCGGTGCACAACTGAGCAAGAGGACAAATACATTAGTGTCTAGTTTGAGAAACAGACACCTCACAGGTCCTCAACTGGCAGCTTCATTAAATAGTACCCGCAAAACACCAGTCTCATTGTCAACAGTGAAGAGGTGACTCAGGGATGCTGACCTTCTAGGCAGAGTTACAAAGAGAAAGCCATATCTCAGACTGGGCAATATAAAGGAAAGATTAAGATGGGCAGTCTGAGGTATGGCTTTTTCTTTGCAACTCTGCCTAGAAGGTCAGCATCCCTGAGTCACCTCTTCACTGTTGACATTGAGACTGGTGTTTTGCGGGTACTATTTAATGAAGCTGCCAGTTGAGGACCTGTTAGGTGCCTGTTTCTCAAACTAGACACTGTTCTGTAAAGGGAGTAGTACACAGCGTTGTACGAGATCTTCAGTTTCTTGGCAATTTCTCACATGGAATAGCCTTCATTTCTCAGAACAAGAATAGACTGACGAGTTTCAGAAGAAAGTTCCTTGTTTCTGGCCATTTTGAGCCTGTAATCGAACCCACAATTGCTGATGCTCCAGATACTCAACTAGTCTCAAGAAGGCCAGTTTTATTGCTTCTTTAATCAGCACAACAGTTTTCAGCTGTGCTAACATAATTGCAAAAGGGTTTTCTAATGATCAATTAGCCTTTTAAAATGATAAACTTGGATTAGCAAACACAACGTGCCATTGGAACACAGAACTGATGGTTGCTGATAAATGGGTCTCTATACGTCTATGTAGATATTCCATTAAAAATCAGCCATTTCCATCTACAATGGTCATTTACAACATTAACAATATCTACACTGTATTTGATCAATTTGATGTTATTTTAATGGACCAAAAAAATTGCTTTTCTTTCAAAAACAATGACATTTCTAAGTGACCCCAAACTTTTGAACGGTAGTGTATCTCTTTAAGGTTGGAAGGGGGTAGTGCAAGGAAATCTGTGGCCTCCTGACACAAAGTGACCTCCACCTGCATGGTGACGTTACGTGAGAGGGTGGGGTGGCACTCCAGGTTCTCGTCTCCACAGCAACCAGCGCATCGCCACAGGGGCACGCAGGCAGGGCTAAAAATATATTCCACCTCTCCAGGATACTCCTGCTCCACCTCCACCAATCGCTCCATCGAACGACACAAACTCCGCCCCAAAACCTCCCGGAACAGTATCACTGCAATGAGAGTTGACCAATGAACTATCACTGAGACTCAGGTTGATTGACAGCTGACCAATGTATTCACTGTCTAAGTAATCTAACAATGTTATATATTAATACAGTTATTTAATTTAAGGAACTAGATATGCACTTACCTCTAGAGTGCATTTCCACTGGGGAGTGAGAAGTCTGGAATAAAAATAAGAAAATAAATGCAATGTTATATTTCAGATAGAAGAAAATGATCACAAGTAGACATCACTGTGAACATAGCCAATAAATAGTGACAGTTGACAGTCAGTCACAGAAACTTTGACTATGAACATATTTATTGGGCTGCTGATGAGCATAATCTTGTGGTAGAAAGATAATACTACAGCTGTGAGCAAGCAAGGGTTCTATTATAGCCTATTTTCAGCTCAACGAATGCAGAGGGGGAAGAATGAAGTCAAACCCAACCAGAATATTTTCACGCAGGGCCTCAGACTACAGACCATAGACTTATAGTACCAGTCAAAAGTGGACACATCTACTCATTCCAGGGGTTTTCTATATTTTTACTATTTTCTACATTGTAAAATAATAGTGAAGACATCAAAACTATGAATTAACACACATGGAATCATGTAGTAACCAAAAAAGTGTTAAACAAATATTTTATATTTGAGATTCTTCAAAGTAGCCACACTTCGCCTTGATAACAGCTTTGCACACTCTTGGTATTCTCTTTTTTTATTTTTATTTTATTTCACCTTTATTTAACCAGGTAAGCCAGTTGAGAACAGGTTCTCATTTACAACTGCGACCTGGCCAAGATAAAGCAAAGTAGTGCAATAAAAACAACACAGAGTTACATATGGGGTAAAAAAAACATAAAGTCAGAAATACAACAGAAAATATATATACAGTGTGTGCAAATGTAGCAAGTTATGGAGGTAAGGCAATAAATAGGCTATAGTGCAGAATAATTACAATAGTATTAACACTGGAATGCTAGATGTGCAAGAGATGATGTGCAAATAGAGATACTGGGGTGCAAAAGAGCAAAATAAATAACAATATAGGGATGAGGTAGTTGGGTGGGCTAATTTCAGATGGGCTGTGTACAGGTGCAGTGATCGGTAAGGTGCTCTGACAACTGATGCTTAAAGTTATTGAGGGAGATAAGAGTCTCCAGCTTCAGAGATTTTTGCAATTCGTTCCAGTCATTGGCAGCAGAGAACTGGAAGGAATGGCGGCCAAAGGAGGTGTTGGCTTTGGGAATGACCAGTGAGATATACCTGCTGGAGCGCAGACTACGGGTGGGTGCTGCTATGGTGACCAATGAGCTAAGATAAGGCGGGGATTTGCCTAGCAGTGATTTATAGATGGCCTGGAGCCAGTGGGTTTGACGACGGACATGTAGTGAGGACCAGCCAACAAGAGCGTACAGGTCACAGTGGTGGGTAGTGTATGGGGCTTTGGAGACAAAACGGATGGCACTGTGATAGACTACATCCAATTTGCTGAGTAGAGTGTTGGAGGCTATTTTGTAAATGACATCGCCGAAGTCAAGGATCGGTAGGATAGTCAGTTTTACGAGGGCATGTTTGGCATCTCAACCAGCTTCATGAGGTAGTCACCTCAAATGCATTTAAATTAACAGATGTGACTTGTTAAAAGTTACATTTGTGGAATTTCTTTCCTTCTTAATGCGTTTGAGTCAATCAGTTGTGTTGTGACAAGGTAGGGGTGGTATACAGAAGATAGCCCTATTTGGTAAAAGACCAAGTCCATATTAGGGCAAGAACAGCTCCAAATAAGCAAAGAGAAATGACAGTGCGTCATTACTTTAAGACATGAAGGTCCGTCAATCTGAAAATGTTAAAGAACTTTGAAAGTGTCTTCAAGTGCTTTCGCAAAAACCATCAAGCACTATGATGAAATTGGCTCCCATGAGGACAGCCACAGGAAAGGAAGACCCAGAGTTACCTCTGCTGCAGAGGATAAGTTCATTTCAGTTAACTGCACCTCAGATTGCAGCCCAAATATATGCTTCACAGAGTTCAAGTAACAGACATCTCAACAGCAACTGTTCAGAGGAGACTGCGTGGAACAGGCCTTTATGGTCGAATTGCTGCAAAGAAACCACTACTAAAGGACACTGTTACGAACCCTGTGGTTTTAAAAGTCTAGGGTGGATGGAAAAGAGACACGTAACATAATTCATGCTAATTAGAATATTGCCAACGAACAGTGAGAACAAATTCACCGACAACCAAAAAGCTACCATCAAACATAATTTTTTTATTATAAACACACGGTAAAGATTTGGGGAAAAGGGGCTGAGCAGGACACAAGGAATGAAACAATGTCAAAATCCCCTAAACTGATCTTGCCTGCCTCAAGAACTGCTAAGCTTACTACTAACTACACAAAAATACAGTAGGTGGTCTGCTCAGATCTAACTAGTGTTTTTAGACTAAGTTTTCCTACGGGTAGTGTATGCCCAAGGGCGACTTGCTAAAAATCCCCTTTTCCCAGGAACAAACAAACATAGTTACCATATGGAGTAAACAGCAAATGAGTGAGTACACAAAAAAACAAGACACCACAGTATCCATACTCACAAACAAAACTCTCAGTCAAAAAACACAACTGACTGGCTTTTAAAACAAGGGAAGGTGTGATGTGATTGGGTAATGAAAACCAGAAACAGGTGGTGCAATCAGGAGAGGTGGCCACTGATTGGTCCACCTCAGCAATCAGCAGATTAACTGATGACTGACAGGTGGGACACACCAACGACCTCCAATCAGGAACAAAAAGGACACCTGTGATTAGGGCAGAAGGAGAGGAAAAACACAAAAACACAAACAGGATACCTGTATCCGTAACAGACACCAATAATAAGAAGAGACTTGCTTGGGCCAAGAAACACGAACAATGGACTTTAGACCTGTGGAAATCTGTCCTTTGGTCTGATGAGTCCAAATGTGAGATTTTTGGTTCCAATCGCTGTGTCTTTGTGAGACACAGAGTAGGTGAACGGATGATCTCTGCATGTGTGGTTCCCACCGTGAAGCATGGAGGAGGAGGTGTGATGTGTGGGGGTTCTTTGCTGGTGACACTGCCTGTGATTTATTTAGAATTCAGGCACACTTAACCAGCATGGCTACCACAGCATTCTGCAGCGATACGCCATCCCATCTGGTTTGCGCTTAGTGGGACTATCAATTGTTTTACAACAGGACAATGACCCAAAACACACCTCCAGGCTGTGTAAGGGCTATTTGACCAAGAAGGAGGGTGATGGAGTGCTGCATCAGATGACCTGGCTTCCACAATCACCCGACCTCAACCCAATTGAGATGGTTTGGGATGAGTTGGACCGCAGAGTGAAGGAAAAGCAGCCAACAGGTGCTCAGCATATGTGGGAACTCCTTCAAGACTGTTGGAAAAGCATTCCTCATGAAGCTGGTTGAGAGAATGCCAAGAGTGTGCAAAGCTGTCATCAAGGCAAAGGGTGGCTACTTCGAAGAATCTCAAATATAAAAAATATTTTGATTTGTTTAACACTTTTTTGGTTACTACATGATTCCATATGTGTTATTTCATAGTTTTGATGTCTTCACTATTATTCTACAATGTATAAAATAGTAAAAATAAAGAAAAACCCTTGAATGAGTAGGTGTGTCCAAACCTTTGACTGGTACTGTAAATCCAGACTAAAGCAGTGCAGTGGGATACTGTAGGATAGCAGGGGCATCCCCAGTAGTAGAGAAAGCGAGAGCGAGAGATCTTTCGCCTCAGGCCCAACGTTTTTCTTTCCTTATTTTCACTTACTGATTCCACCCACTCTGGGGCTTTCTGAGTTCCAATGAGAGTTGACAGTTCCAATGAAGCCATGGTTTGGATAAACCCAAAGTTCCTATGAAGAATGATACACCTGCTTTTTTAATAAACTGTTACATTATTTTAATAATCAAGCTTTTTTGTGAACTTGAATCCATGGAAGGATAGACTGGCTGACACCAGCTCACGTTGGTTGCGTCAGCCAGGCTGATGGAAGGAAGCCATGGTTTCAACAAACCTTAGGCCATGTGATGAGAATGTCTGTCTACAGTGTGGCAGAGGAGACACATTTTCCTCGATGTTACAGTGCTGCTGAATAATCTATTTCAGTACCAGCTACGTGTTGTCACTCAGAAGCAACAAGAGGCAGTGATGTGGCAAAACTGCAGCCATCCATCTCTGTCGCCATAGTGACGCCACAAAACCAACCATAACCAACAATACATGACCATTAGTCTCTTCCCACAGACCACTAATGCACAAGTACAAAAAGGCATCCCAGGACGTCTCTACTGTAAGTCTTTGTTTGGACACAGTGAGAGACATGTCTCGGGTCAGGAACTATGAACACAAACAAACACAAATACAAGCCCAGACAGTGGACAGGCAGCTCACAGAGACAATGGGAGAGACACAGTTCTGGAGTTCTCACAGTATTCTGCTAGCCATCCTTGACCTCAAGGGGTCTCTCTTTCCCTCTCTTTCCTCCTCGCTCTATTTCTTCCTGTCCTTCTTTCTCTCTCTCTCTCTCTTCCCATCTCTTTCTCTCTCTCTCCTCGCTCTATTTCTTACTGTCCTTCTTTCTCTCTCTCTCTCTCTCGCTCTCTTCCCATCTCTTTCTCTCTCTCTCTCTCTCTCTGCTTCTCTCTCTCATAAGTTGTATTTTATAAATGTCAGTTTGTATCTCTGGATCCAGTGGTCCCATCTGGGCTGGTTTCAATGGCTCTAATAAATCTCACCATTAGCTCCTATTTAACTGGCCTCCATTACATGTATCCTGTTGACACTAAGAGTTAGTTTCTCTCTATGGGTTTCAGCTGGTTATTTTATCACACACAAACCCCTGTAGTGAGACGGAGGTGGTGGTCAGGTTTTGTAGTGATTTAGGTGGAACAGTGGAAAGTCCCGGGCCCGGTTTACGAGTGTTTTAAAGATTAATCTTTCCTACAACGGCCGAAGATGTAACATGCTTTTTCCAAAACACCACGCAGAGAGAACGGTCGCTAAGTGTGTCGTTGGAGCATGTGTCGACGGTACTGATAGGATCGACAGAAAGGGAGCACTGCTCTCAGATCAGCTTTCTCCATTCAAATCTAAATTCAAAATAAATTGCACACCCTAGAATTTACTCTAAA